TCCCGCTCAGTGGGGCCGAATGTAAAACAAAACAAAGGAGATACTTATCCATGGATATTTCAAGTTTCGCGCCAATTTGTATAATCTTGTTCCTGAAAAGGAGTAAGGGGTATATGAGGCAATGGGTTATATCGATCGATGTATCTTGGGTATAGGGGAGTACGAAAGGTCCAGAAAGTTTCCTGGTTCGGATAATAGTGCCATATGACCCTCCAGGGCGTAGACAGATATAGTAACTAAGCCGAAGTTCAGGTCTGGACCATATTCTTTCTGGACTTTTGTCTCTCTCGCTCTCTCTCGCTCTCTCTCGCTCTCTCTCGCTCTCTCTTTTTTTTTTCTCTTGATCTTTGACCTCCTCTGCATACAAATGTGGAGCGAATCGATTGCCTAATCAAGTTACCTCCAATCATCGGGGGTTCTCCGAGCGAAGGCTTAGACGCCAACAGTGGATGTGGACACGAGGTGGGGGTTGTTTAACCGGCGTTCGCCGCATGAGGGAAATCCCGCCAGGCACCACTGGAACTGCTGCACGACCATCCCTGGGTCCGATAATGCTGAATATACCCATCAAAAAAGTATTTGAATGAATTGCCGGGCACTAGTCGGATCCCCAAAAAAAACAAATTCTGTTTCCACTTTTCTATTAGACGCATACAGGTTCCATTCAACCCATCCAACCGATCTCTCCAATTAAACTACGGGATATGTATCCAAAATAAGCAGTTGATGACATTTCACTATATAGCGCACTGGGGCAAATTGACCTCGTTTGACTCCACTTACTTGGCGTCGGTTCTGTTCGGTCCCTTTCAGCCCCAACTGCCCCCAGTAGGAGCAATCGGAATTCCGCGGTGTTGGTCACGAGGTCTTGCTACGTTTAGGATTTTGTGGGAAACTGTGGAAATTTGAAACATGGCTTTTTTCAAAATAATGTAACACACAAATGTGAAATAGGAGAACATAGCTATGTACATACTGTAACTGGTCGAGCAAACAAAGCTCGGACTACTCTGATCTAGGCCTGACAAAAAAAAAAGCCCGGTACTACATCATAGTTAACTAACTAGTTAATCCCTCTATGATGGCTTGACTTAGTAAGAGGAAGCAAAGGTATACTCTATTCCGAGACTAGAAATGAGTGGTTTTTGTTTTTCCATATGACACGGGCTAACTTACGAAGTATAGTATGATCGGCAGATCAAAGCTTGTGGATCATGGATAGGAGAGTGTCGAGAAAATGATGTTCAGAGTCGCTTCTTCTTTCCCTTCCAGATCCGCCTGGGCTTTCTAACAGAGGTCCAACCAAGTCCCACAGTATTTTGTTTATTTCTATCCAAAGAATCGAAAGCCTCACATCTCAATGCTTTCAGATATGGAATTATTTCCGGGACACGAGGGCTGAGATCCTTTCGTTATACTTTGATTGTAATTGGATACATCCACTTTATATTTGCCACTTGAAACAACGCCAGATCTCAAACATACTATTATTGCGATGGTCTATGAGGAATTCATCAGCCCCATGCACAAAAATGACTAGTATAAAGTCTCGTTCCTTAACGTCCATAAGACATGTCAATAATAGCTGTTCGCAGGTACTAGTCCCAGAACCCCAGATTCTCCATGTGTCGGCCCAACCTAGCAGCCCAATGAGCGGCATTGCTGTTCTTCCTTATGTCATTCAAGATGTCATTGTTGAAAGCCTTCATTATACCCAGATGGTTATTGTACGTAGTCCCCAAGGCACTTGAAATCTTGTTAGATGGCAGTAGGAGTAGGCTCACCTCGAGCTTAGATTGTACAGAGATTACATTGAAGGTATCCAGACTACTGTCGCATCAGCAATAGCACACAAAATCCAGTCGCGGCCAGAGCATGTTCTCTCAGTATGTTGGATCTACCGCGATCCACCTTTTGGGCCGCATTCTGATGGATCTCCTAGCTAGATAAGAAGTACCCCCTTGGTAGGAAGAGATACGAAACTCGGACTAACAGATCATTTACGAAAATAGAATCTGAAATAGTGCCTAAAATACGGTGATAAAACGAATCAGGTATCTCGAAAGATCTCATGATTCCGAGGATCCTGGGAGGAATGAATATATGTTGTCGTTTTTAGACATACTTGTGTTTTATATAGTTAGTTGGTACATAACGCTACCTTGGATAACTTCCTATAGGTTTACCAGGACAGTTTAAAACTATTTCGCAGTGCAACCCCTGGAATTACTCTTCCAAGTTATGCAGCAGACCGAATTAGTCCACGGTTTGAGAGCTTCTCATACTACTAGCCTTGGAACTAAAGACCGAGCTTGAGTACTACATAGATGTCTCGGTATGATCACGTAGTCAAAGTCGACCAAACGGACAGAGAATTATATTAGTTGATTCTTTTGCCAGCTAGGTCATCGATTTCTGCGTTTTCTTAAATTCGCCTTCGACGTAAAGGCGTAAATCTAGACCTTTCGAGCACAACCCTGTATTGATCAGCAGACATATTTGCCCGGACGTTCACCCGTGTACGGATGACAGTCCCCTTGTCCTAGTTCATGGGGATTAGTTTCCTCTAATTTAAACGATAAAGCACCTTCCTATTCAAACCAATATCTCCGGAAAAAGAACTTTATTGTGCCCAGGGCAACTACAACACACAGGGCTAAGCTGAGGTATTTTTTTTCTTCTGTAGTGGCCAAAAATAAGCATCAAATTCACCTAGGAATATCATATTTTGGCTTGGTCTCTCTGTTTCAAAATGAAACCCTGGGGCGTAAGGACTGTCATTCCTGATGACACATACCCCGCATAACTAGTGCCGAGGTGGGAATTTGGGGGTCGTCTAATTAAGTACCACCATACAGCGCCATTCTCAACTAAAATATGTAAGCAGCTTCCGTCTCCAGGGCTGGAATTCGCAGTCCAAATAGAATTAGAGTGGAAGAAATCTCACGTATCGACTGAGCGAATGTCTAAAGACTCCACTTCTGAGTAACGTTCCCAGAGAATCAAGTAAAAGAGCACGTATGTCATTTACCAGGTAGATCTTCCAAGTTATTCCAGATCGATGGTGGCGCCGAGGAATGCAGTGATAGACAAATGGATCATGCAGATACTTCACTAGTTTATCGACGGAGATCGTACGGAGAAGTGCGGACGCATCATCCAAAGCCTAACTCAGCCTTGGGTTAAATTGGGCAATGCTATACGGAGTACTCAACGTTCACTAGGGAGCCATTTCCAGCGCTGATCCGCCATGATCTCCGAGGCTCTTTCGGTGCGTTGTTAGCATATGCCATCCATGTCTCTAGTCCCCAGAGCTAGCTTGATGAGCTTGATACAATGCTCACATATCTCCCAAATGTACAACATAGACTCCAGAATAGGAGATTCGGTCAGGCTGAATTTCACGCAAATGAAAGTCCTGCAGAATTGAGTTTTGGAGTTCTGTAGACTCCTTCGAAGGATTGGTATCATCGAATCGACAGATCAGAACTTCCTACTTCCTGTTTCTCGGCGCCAAGGCATTCATGAGCGAAATAGTCTCTCCGCAAAGCTACCTTTGCATAAGTAATATGCATGTACCCGGCCCGGGGAAGGGTCTGGGGGAAAGCTCATAACAATTCTGTTCTGGGTGCTTTTGAGGCCAATGCTATGGCTCACACTGGATGAACTCCCTACGAGCTTCTTGTGGCGTACGGCTAATATGCACATACTCGGCCCGAGGAAGGCTCTGGAGGAAATTTCATAACGATTGCGTTCTGGGTGTTTTTGATGTCAGTCAGCGTTATGGCTCGCACCGGATGGAGTCTCTATGGATTTCTTCTGACGTACGGCATTGGAAGTCCGCAAGAATAGATCGATCGCAATGAAGTCAAACCAACGGCTCAGGAAATTTCGTTGGATATCGGCACTTACCTTGTTCCCACAAATATCATACCAGGCCACGAGGTTGGTTCAGGCCAGGGAATAGCCAGGGCAAGAAAGTGAGACGAGGTGGGTTTCCAATCCTTGCGAAGCGAAGCAGCCATTTGTAAGATCGACAAAGGGCTAGAAATATTGTGAAAAACTGTTAAAGGAAAATCATCATCAATCATCACTTTTGTTCACTTTGAGAGGAAGACTTTGATCAATAAGGTGCGATATCCCACATCCATCGGCGATAACTTCATATCACTGGTCTTGAGTATCCATTTCTCATTCTCATTGCTGAGATACACCTGCAGGAAATGGATTCTTAGGTTATATCCTTAGAGGTAATTCAAGGAATCATTGGGTTACTTTGGTCTTCAAAGAGGCTAAAGTGACATATATTGTCAAAGTCGATGATGCTTCACGCCTACTTGCAAGAAAACTAACATGTAAAGATTCTCTGTCCGAGAAACTCAGCCAATGTCTAGAGCAGGTGCTCGTCTTTATATATATCCATGAGCTTGTCCCCGTTTAGTAACTGGGAACATTTTCGGTGCTGTGTGTATGCCCTCTGCTACATGCGAGGCGACGAGAGTACTGACGACAGATTCCCAGGCCAGCTCTGAGACGCGGCATTTTTCCTACACAGCGAGACATCTAGGTATACGAAGAGCACAATACAAGGCTCATAAGAGGATAGAAGCAAGTCAATTGAACAAGACAAAGACAAGTAGCCCGTTTAGAAGTAAAAGCCGCATCCCAACCGTGTAGACCTATCCCAATGCATAATATGAAAAGGTTCCATTGAACCGACAGACAGCCATGACCCGATCACAAAGGAAAAGCAAGAATTCGAATTGCCCCGACCCATGCAAGATGCTAATAATGACAAATACAAAGATAAAACAAGAAGGATATCACGGAAACAGCACCAGGACCAAGGCTCCCACAGAAGCCGCAAAGAAAGAAACATAGACATGAAGATAAAGCGTGAGGTTAAGCTGGGCATCAGCCATATGAAGGGTTTGGGTTCGTGGATGTTTTTCTGTTTCATCGGGTTGAGTGAACATCCAATAACCACTTCATTGAACGCTTCATGCAATGAAGGCGCGGTCCAGCTGGCGCAGCGCCCTCGTGTCCTCGCCTCCGAATCCGATCTTCTCATTGGGGATATCCCGCGGGCCCTCGGCGAAAGAACTCCGTTCGGGGGCTCCGTTCGGGCTCGCGGTAGGGCCACGGGGAGAGGCAGAGGCAGTCGAGGACGAAAGAGGGGCCAGCGATGCACCGTTCATTAGTGAGCTGATGCCAGGAACTCCATTTCCTGCACTTGCGGGTTCAGAAGTCTTTGGTGATGCGGCGATGGGATTGATAGAGGGCAATGCAGCGGGATGCTCCTGCTTCACTGGGTGAGGGCTGTGCGCTTGTCCATTTGACTGCGCCTGCGCCTGCGCCAAGGACTGTCCTGGCACGCGCGGTGACGCCATGCGAGGATCAACAAGACCATGTCCGTAGACCGGTGGGGTGCGTTGCTCGTGGGCGTGAGCTTGAGCTTGAGCGTGGGCATGGGCATGAGCCTGGGCCTGGGCTTGGGCGTGTGCGTGGGCATGGTGAGCGTGAGCATGGTCGTGCATCGAGCGCGGCGACCGGTTCATGTAGTTTGGTTGTTGTGGCGGTCCAGCTGGAGGTAATGTTGATTCCATATGAGGTGGTCGTTCATATGGGCCTGCCATGCTGTGTGGAGGTGGGGGGAGCCCACCGGAATGTTGATGAGGTGGAGGTTGATGGTGGGGAGGCTGATGGTGTGGCGGGCCATAATGGGGATGTCCATTGGTAGCTACCGGGGGTAGATATGAAGGACCAGGGCCGTATTGAACTGTGACAGTCGGTGGTGTGGCTAGGGGGGTGGGTGGCCAAGCATAGGCAGGTGGGTATGGCTGTGTATGAGTGACGCGCGGGTATGCGCCGAGAGGATGAGGAGTGATGGGGTAAGCAGCACCTGCCATAGGTCCACGGGTAACGACAGGGAGATTTTGCTGATCATTGACTGTCGACTCGGGATAGAGGCCTTTCTGGGGTCGAACATGGCGCAGCGCAGGATCGGAGGTGGGTTGTTGTAAGTTCGCGGCAGAAGGGTGGGATCGGGAATAATAGCTAATGAGATGCAAGTGTTGACCATTGGATGTGGTGATGCTGAAAGACTGCTTCATTAAGCCGTCTGGTTTGTAACGGTACCCATCTGGTCCCTCGTCCGTTCCATCGCCACGGTCATCATCACTGCCCCGACTCTCAGGCGTTTTGCCTCCTCGGGAGGCAGAACCCTGAGAGACACTGCCACCGCCACGCTTGCCTTCCATTTCACGATACGTCAAAAAGCTACCAGATACGCGGCTGGCACTCCATGATTTTCCGTCTGTCCATCGTCGCATACCCGCTTCGCGCTCATCCCATACAAAGACTGAACCGGACCGAATTGATTGTCGTTCTTTCTCCGATAGTCGTCTTTGCACGCGAGGTAAAAGGCCGATTCTGCAAGCCTCGAAAAGAATGATAGCGTCCGCAGGTGTGCGAACGTGTCCATAATACGTCTCCATCCAAGCTCTCGAGTCAACCGAGGACCCCGGTTGATTTGGTCTGATTGCCAGGTTGAAGGATAGAAGTGTTTTAAGGGATGGGAGTAGTCAAGGTCTGGAGATGAGTTAGATCTAAACGAAAAGAAAAGAGGCACAAGTGGAGAGGAAGAAAATAGGGTTCAGGTCCAAATATAAAAGGAACCAGGATCCGAGTCATTTGGGTATGGGGTAGCCTGTAGACCAGGGTGGGTAAAGGCCGAGCTTTTACGTCACCCAAGATGGTTAGACTTGGGAATATTTTTTTTTTTTTTTTTTTTTTTTCTTGTTTTGTTTTTTTCTTGTTTTTTTTCGGATTCAACTTTATCCCAAAATGGAAGAGGAGAACTGCAGAGATTGATGTGGGCCAAGTGGGCTTGAAGGCGTAGGAATGCCGAACAGACAAGGGAGAAAGCCAAGACTGAAAAGACACAAAGAGACAAGAGAGAGAGTGGGGGACCTACTGTATTACTCCACCAAGGTTTTTGAAGGAATGGCTTAGCTGTTGTCTCGGGAACTTTTTTTTTGGAAATAAAAAGAGTGAGCAAGGGAGAAAGTAAGAAGGAAGAAAAAAAAAAAGAGAGATCTTTCAACTAAATCCAAAGCTCATAAACAATGAAGAAGTCATAAAAAAGAAGGTTAAATAAGGGAAGCGGAGAGAAGAAGAGCGGGCCAAGCGATCCAAGCGAAAAAGATCGAACGGAAGTTGCTAAACGCCGAGATTCCAAGAATGGGAGAGTCTTTTAATGCATTTACTTTATTTACACTCTATTTACTTTAATTTAAGTAATTTATTTAAGTTATTCAATTTATTTACCTTATTTGGTGTTAGATTCCGTAATACCATGGAACCATGGAATAATGAATGTCTTTCAAATCCACATTTTTTATGCATGGGAACCTTGGAAAAGGAGATGAGTCTCGACATGGGGCTGAAGTGGCACGGATATGAAGGCTTCTAATAATTGTGTAGCCTGAGTAATTTAAGTAGATTATAAATGTTGTAAATGTGCAAAAGTATTATAATCACATCAATGATTAAAGTGAGACTACCTTCAGACCCCAATTCTATAGAAATATAATGTAAATTCCCATTCTCCTGTTACGGGGAGTGAAACGGTTTTCCCGGATTGGCTCATTTGTAATTCCACGTTTAAACTCTTGGCTCGGGTTTACGGGGTTTGAAAAGCCTTGGAAGGCAGTAAGGTTAATTTGGCCCCTTCATAAGATCCATTCCTGATAGATTAAACTAAAATGGGATAGAGGATACAGGATAAAGGATCAACATTAATAGATAGACAATATTATTAATGTACTCTTGTATGGTAATAATACATAAACTAAAAAATAAAAAAAAAAGATAAAAAGATAAAAAGATAAAAAGATAAAAGGTATGTACATAAAATGCTCTGTGTCAGAAAAGTGGCGTTCTGATCGCAAAAAAAGGTTAGTACTCTTAAGCTTAATCCAACACGAGGAGGCCGGCGCTGAACTTTACTTATGCTCGCTTACAGAGGTCCTATCCACTCGGGGACACCTCCACTTTGGGTTTATTTTCATTCTTGGCAAAAGGAGGGGGGCCAACTTCATCAATTCTATATTGTAGTGGGACAGGTTATTCTTAAGATGTAATGTATCTACTTTGGACGGAGTACATCATAATATGTTGCAGTCAGACATATATACCTACCTTTCGCACTTCTAATCAGACTACGTACTTAAAAACCTACAATTCCAATGATTACCATTCTCACGCAATAGTTTCCTCTAGGTTATAGGTTTTTTTTTTTTTTTTTTTTTTTTTTTTCTCACTGGGAAAATAAACAAGCCCACTCGACTATCGGGATTTCGCACCCAATGCGACCGAATAACTCGATCCTTCATTGATTAATAATAGCCTAAACAGGGTTTGAGCGGTTCTATCCGATGCAGCCTTATCCACCACCTTATGTATCCCTTGGCATAGGCAGGACCCATACGAGTCACATCTAAACAAGGTTGACCTTAGCGAATCTCGTCCGGAACATTTTAATTTATACCCGATATCCGATACCTTATAGGCTAAAAAAGATAGAAAGAAGCCACAGTGGCCATATCCGCGTGACTCGTACTCGTATCGGATCCAGTGACGCGGTGTTTTGATTGTAACTGCGCTGACCACAAAAGCTTGACAAGATCCTAGTCCAGATTGAAGCGATGCAAAGAAAAGAAAACATAAACTAAAAGGATGCAGTGTACTTTATACAGAGCATTGTGGATCGGACAAGAAGTCTCTCTGGGGTCTTAAGTGTGTTGATCCCATGTACACTATTTGCGCGCGTAAGATGATGTACGGTGATAGCTAATCAGGAAGCCACGTAACAAGATCGCCCTAGGCACCTGGGTAAGTACATGCTGGATTACGACTGGCTATATACTAGCCACATACTATATATTCGTGGAGCAAGTGGACTTGCTTTGCATCTGACTTATAGCGCTCGTGTTCGACCAACACTAACAATAGCCAATGGCTTGAATTCTAACATGATTCGCCAAATTACCAAGTGATCGGCCAAAACATGATTCGACTAAATCATACCCGCTGACACATTGACTCAGCGATAAGGTTAGCTGGTCCGAGTCTACGCTCCGTGCCGTTCATGTTCACCGTGCAGGTTAGTCTTGTACCTAATAATTAGCCTTGCAGGTGGGTTAGGGGCCTCGCATTCTAGATCCAATATTAGACCCCTGTGCATCGCATGAGGCGTGAAAGGTACCAGAATCATTCGGAGATGGCCGCCACATTCACGTTGTGCACATTTCTCCTTATTCCGGGGCCTATGAACATTGGAACTTGGGATATAGCATTATTGTCGTTCAATACGTCACGCACGGGCCGAATGCAAGCCAGTAAAAGCGTATCGCCAACAAATTCCCCCGTTGTACAAGGATCACTCTAATAGGGTTCGGGGGAGATGGCTAAGCTTGGCAGCTGATTTCCTTCTTGGCTTCAGCCCTGATTCGGATTTGGAGTTTAAGAGACCGGGGTTCTGGTGTTTGCATTCTAACAAAATACATACATAGCATAGCACGAGTCTATCAATGGTACGTACTTCGTACATACATTGTAATCGCCTGCATTACAAGTCTCACACGGCACTGTTCTGTGTGACCAGAACATCACCGTGGTGACCTGGTCTTCCATCTACCAGGTCTACGGAGTGTGTCAGGTCGCACCGCTTCCTTTATCTAGGTTCATGTAATAAGAAACTAGGCTTGGGTGACCAAAGTATGGAAGAGATACGAAGTAACTAGTGCGTATGATTTAACATGCAAGCTATAAGAATTAGCGGGCTAGTACTCCGTAGTCCGTACAATTATGCTGTGATCTTGTGTTGCCACAGTCAAAATTGTTTTAACGGTTAATGATAGGCTCTGGGCAATAATCGAGGTTAACTGGCAAGGCTCAAATTTCAATCAGACCGGTGCAGCTGATCATTGTAATACCGAAAAAGGAAGCTGCAATCGTTACAATTTCGCATTGCCATTCTACCTTGCATTCTCTTCCAATCAACACCATAAAAATAAGCATAATCAACACCGCGAATAACCACATGTATTCCCTTGCCTTAAGCATGCAACCACGTACTTTATACGAATTCGCTTCAACGCTAGCGTGGAAGCTCAGGCCTCGACCGAATTTTTAATTCTGAAGATCGCCTGAATCCACGCTCAATAGCCGGAATCCCGCAAGTCTTACTACATTTGTATAATGTGGGTGTCTCTCATTTTTCCCCAGGCGGAAAATCATCTCCAGCTTATCAGGGATATAACGCCCCTTGAATTATCCGCACCTGAGGCGTATACCAATCTCCGGATTCGGGGATTTCTAATCACCGAAAGCCTACCTCGGTACCTACTTACAAGGAAAACAAATGTCGATATTATCATTCAAAAGGTCTCTATCCGACCATCCGAAGACTCCTTTTCCCCAAGTGGATCCTAGCTCCACATCTCGCTAACTATATCTTACCTGCTGATAGAGTACCCTTGCGGGATAAACCGACAGTTTTACCGACCGTGGTTCGTGCGGGCCTTCTGCAACTGTATTCGTTAGCTGCTAATCTATTATTAATGGTCTCGGACTACCTTCGGATTTGTTGAAATATACATACGCACGAAGTAACTCCGTTAGCTGAGGTATAACTCCGCTACACAGCATCTACCTTCAGGAATAATCTCCGATTGATGATCCGAACATGGGCAGCCTGACGTTATAAGAGCCCCAAGTCAGAGACTAGACAAGCAAATATAAGGCAACACTATAAACTAGAATAGAATGGAAAATGACGTGCGATTAACTGATTTCTTGTATTGTCATGCATTCGTTGCAACCCTGGAATTAAAGGTTGCCAAGAAATCATTTTGTGAAACGTCACACGAGCTTATCTCCACTAGCATAATTAAGGTATCCATTGTCTGAATGAATAGGGAATGTGCTGGAATGGTTGAAGCATGGGAATTACTTTTTTTTTTTTCATCTTCGTTTGCATTTCCTTTTATAGTATTATGGTTATGTTTCATTGCATGGGGTCAAAAGGGTGTCATTTTATTCTGGTCCAATGTTTGTATGTAATATTGACTTTTTTTTTTCTCACTACCATATTCAACATATCATACTCTCTGTAGGGGTCCAAGAAAAGGCAGTGCACAAATGCTGGTGCCTACCCAAATGGTAAACTACTACATACTCCGTGACTCCGAACCCAGGTAAATCTTTTGAGGGCCTTTATGAATGCCAAGAGGATCCCACCTTTATGAGTGGCTAATGTCTGGCTGGAGGGGCAATGTCATCAAAGCCTAAAATCCAGTTTTCCCTTGCGAACCATGGAAAGCGTGGCTGCATATTTTATGGTTAATGTGTACTCCGTACCTTTATCTTACTTAACTCTACTTTACTTTACCTAAATATTTCCACGGTTCAAGACTAACTTAACACCCATGTGGCGGGAATGCATTATTTTTTTTCTCGGGGAGTTTGGAAGCCGAATACGAAGTATTAATCTGTTTGAACTATGTGTAGTACAATATAGTAATATTCTTTAACCTTGAGTGTAACCTTGAATATACTAATAAACTAGTAACCCCTGGATTATCAATGATCAATTATTACTGCGTGACTTTTTACCGCAAATCACATCTTCATCCCGTAGGTTATCTGCAATGTGATACGTCAGGCAGGGATGACCTACAGCATGACTCGTACAAGGCGCGCACTGCCCGAACTTCTTTTTGCTTATGCTTAACCCTGGTAAGGTTGGGGCCCCTTGCCTGCTGATCCTGGTCCCCTTATTGGCGTGGAAGTAATGCTCGCTTTGTCAAAGTCAAATATATTAATTCAAGGCTGTGCACTTCCTTCCTATGAGGCTGTACACACTTTTTTTCGTTCAATTCTAGCCTATAGGTTAATGTTGAACTATTTAGGATCATCATTTGCCTCTCAGCACAATAATATCAATAATATCCCATAAAGGACAGGTGGCAATACAAATATAAATCTACCTACGGAGTAGGTAAACTGAAACCGGAATGCTCGGCATAAATAAGCGAGCTCCGAAACAAAGTAATTGAGTCAAAATACTCCAAATACTACTCCGAAGCCACTCGGCAGACCACGTTTCCTCCTGATGGAGTTCGGCGAGACTCAATAATTCCTTGAATTTCCGTTGTCGTCGGCCACATTCACCTCACTGCCCTATTTCCGAATTAGGCTATTGATATGTAGTTATATACTTTTCCAGCAATCAACTTACTGCCCCTGGGGGCCCCAAGGGCCACCGACGCCCCAATTTTTTACATTCAGTCTGTGGGACGCCTCGTTTCTAGACTATAGTGCTTGGCTTTGCTTGGAGTCCGGAGCTCCGGAGCTCCGGTGCATAAATCAGGGATAAGATCTGTCGTATATGTTTTCTTATACGAGGTGCGGAGCACGGAGTATGTACGGAGTACATTTACGCCAATAAATGCTACCCCAGCTATACACCATATGTATGTACAAAAACGTCCGGTCTCCTCCGTAGAGCTACTCTTATCGTGAAACGATCGTCTACGCCTGGCGCTCTGCTAATGCACCAAGATCTGTGCCTTAATTTTATTCCTTCGGCCGCCGAGTTGAACCCCGAGCATTTATTCATTATTCCCTCCGTGCGATGGTGCTTTTTAATGTTGTATGTTTTGCACTCTATTCGATGTTCAGCCCTGTACACGAATAGAATAAGCCTACGTAGATCCGACCTTATATTCAGGCTGGTGTCATCATCTTTCTATGTCACATAAGGATATCCTTGCCTCGTGTTTTGTATGGAAGCACTAAATTCGGAAATATCTGATATTTTCTTAAGTTACGTAGCATTCCTTTCGGATCCTTAGCGTAGCGCTTTGTTCTGGCTTCTTCGGCTGGTTGTCTAGGATAGTCACTTGCCTGACTCGTGGGACAGGGGGCCAGATTCAAGAATCTAAAAAGGAATAACTGACTGTAACCCCGTCGTTATCTTTCTTTTCATCCGAACATCCGATCATTTGTCTTGATCAGCGAGGCCACGGTTTAAAATTAGAATCTCAAAGGTGGGTAAATCAATAAGCTCTACATATAGTAGCTTCCGCCTAATCCTTATAATCCGGCGATCTATGGAGTATGGAGATAAGAATTTAGTCGCCAGCCATTTTCTTCTTTCTTTCCCTTGCTTTGTTAGTCATACATAAGGCGCCTATTGTAGTATATGTTGTCAAGGCTAAATTTGGGGGCCTAATAATTGTGTGATGGTTAAACGAGAGTAATATAAAAAGTAAGCTGAGCCGGGCACTACCGGTTAGTACCTGCAAGCACTTTTTTTTTAACTTCAGGTCGTAAGAGACTTGTATTCTCGCTAGTCAAATTTGGTCACTTAGAGCGACGAAGGCTCCGTTATACGGATGTCTGCGGATAGCCCCTGTGTTTGTCCTATTCGGGAATATATCGGCAAAACTGTTGATGACGTTGGAGATTTAGTATAACCCCCCGGTTGATAAGGACGAAGTGCTATATTTATTATTGCCAATTGAGCAAATCCAGGCCCAGCTATGAATTACACAATACGGAGTAGTCCGGCTCATGTTGTGTTGGGTTATGTTATTTTCAAATTTCTCTATATCTAAATATTTAGTTTTCATGCATATTATATTACAAATCTATCATACATTCCGAGGTTGGCCAGATGATACCTCTGATAAGGCTCAGCAATCAGCCCGACCAAAGTACCGTGGGAAGGATACGATATCCCGAACGCTGGAGACACCAGTCAGATATCCCAGGAACCGATCGAATCCGAGCCCAAAGCCTCCATGAGGAGCAGAGCCCCAGCGTCGGAGGTCAGCATACCATTGGAGGTGGCTCAGGTCCTCGTCAGGGGTAAGATGGGGATACAATGGCTCGCCTAGAGCTGGTTCACCAGACTCTGGAATCTGTCGGGGCCTGATGAGACCGTGTTCACGCATGTTCTGGATGAGATTGGGCAGGCGATGCTCGCGCAGGGAACCCCCGGCGACTTCGCTGACTTCGGGGAGGAGCAGGTCGAAACATGCCACTGTCTCCCCGGGCGTGTTGCTGCCCTCGGAAACCTGCGAAGGCGCCATGTAGAACGGCTTGACAGATTTCGGATAGTCTGTCACAAATACAGGACGCCCTTGATGGAGCACCTCGACGATATACTTTTCATGTTCAAGTTGTAGACCTCCATCCCATGTCGGGGAATGCTCGAATGTTGCGCCATCTTCGGTGACAGCACGCTGGAGCATCTCCACTGCTTGGGTGTATGTAATGCGGTCCCATTTTGGCCCATCCATTAGATCGGTCCATCTTTGCCGTAAAGATCCCGCCTCCTCAGCGCTAGTTTCCTGGCCTGGCTCACCAGAGCGCTTTGCTGACAAGATCTCCTGGCCTACGGTGGTATTATACAGACGACGGGTCAGATCGCGTAGCAGATATTCCACTAAGCCAGTAAGCAAGTCAAGGTCAGACATGAAGTTGACCTCGGCTTCGAGCATGTAGAACTCGCTGAGGTGGCGCGGTGTATCGCTCTTCTCCGCCCGGAATACGGGTGTCAATGTCCAGACATTCCCCAGCTCTGCTGCATAAGCTTCAAGGTGAAGCTGCGACGATACCGTGAGGTATTTTGGCGATCGGAAGAAATGCTCGCTCTCGGTGCTGGGTGTAGCGGCACCACGTGGTGCCAATGTGAACGTCTCGCCTGCGCCTTCACAGTCCGAAGACGTTATAAGGGGAGGCTGAACTTGTGTGAAGGCTCCGTCCGGATGAGAGTGGAAGACATTGCCAAGTTGGAACATGCACTCGGATCGGAAGCGCGAAAGGAGAGAATTGAAGGGTGTTCGAATGCGGAGGTGAGGAATCTGGCGCAGAAATTCAGGGCTGTGGTACTTCTTCTGAATCGGAAACGTCTGTAACCATAGATATCATGTTTAGTGTGAGGTCTGACGAGAGCTGGGGGAACTGTTGGGCTCACCTCTGGGTCCGATGCGCCTATAACCTTAATATCGGTTGTTTGGAGCTCATGAGTTTGCTCTTTGCCCGGTGGGCAAGCTTTCCATATGCCCGATATCTCGATCGCAGTTCCAGTTGAGAGACTAGAGAAAAGGCGTTCGAGTTAGTCTTTATTGACAAACAGGTCGCGGCCACAGCTTGCGCGCGATCGAACGTACTCTGCTGCTTGCGCGGGTTTCAGGAATGCCTGTAAGGGCTCCACGGTTGAGCCATCAGATATTTCTGCGAATGCAAAGCGTTTCTGTTTGCGTACAGACCGAATAAACCCATTCAATTTGATTTCTTGGTCCTCGAAGCTGCAGACTGCACCGTTCTTGCTAGCTTGGAGGATTTGCGCGCATCGCACGGTAGAGGGTCCGGATTTAATTGAGTTATGGGTAAGTCTGCCCACAGACGTGGCGAAAGTTCGCCGCCATATCTGCATTGCTGAAGGTGCTGTGGGTTGAATGATCGGGGAGTTCGGAAATCGCGGCCAGGAAACTTATCGGCGTTGATGTCGGTCCGAGTGGCATTCCCAGCATTTACTAAATTCGAGATTAGAGATCTTCTATTGTATCAATGTTGGGTAGCAATTTTCTTGCTTTTAAATAGGTCTAAATAGATATATTGTTGACTACAATCTCACTGCCATGTTGTCCAGTCCTGTACAACAATTTATATATAACGGGCCAGTCACTAATTTACACGCTGTATTTCGAAGATAGCTCAAAGTCATACAATAAGAATATCAAACAAAAACAATAGAGGAATGGTCGCTTCAAAGGTAGATATAAGTATACTCAGGCTTCGAAACATCGATGAATAATTGGCTGATCAAGTCATAAAAGCAAAAAGTGGGATTTCAACACTACCGAGAGTAACTAAAGCCACCCAGTCAAGCTAAACTGTAGCTAAAGGAATGACTGGGCCGTTATACGACCCTGAACTAAGAAAAAACAAGCAAATATTCCATACCTCACTGCGAAGGCCGCCGTTCATAGATCTGTCTTTCCTCTTCGATCATATCAATCGCATCCATGAGGACACCATTTACCATAGTCGCATACACAGCCATCCTCGACCGTCCGTCCTCCTGTTCAGCCCCGTATCCCATGTCGACAAGAGCAGAGACACATCGTTCGATTGCCGCATCATTAGACTCAGGAGCACGGGTATCAAGTGTAGTAGAAAGTCCGACCCTCGCCGTATCTTCCACTGGGAAGGTTCCGGGAATTTGCTCGTGAGAAGATACACCAGTTCGTTCCCGCCTAGACAGCCGCGCCCATGTATCTATTTCCGCAGGGCCACGAGATCTATCCCCAAGACGACGCATACTTGCTGAATGCTTCAGGGGATTATGGCGGCCAGCCTCCACAGAGTGCCAATTATTTGGTTTATGAGCTTTGTGCTCAGTGGCTCGGCGTTTCAATTTTGGTGCATGTTGGGGCTCGGTGAGATCTACCACGGAGCGCACAACCTCCTTGGAACCTGAAGGATGAGCCATTTGATCCCGAACTGCTTTGGTATGGCCAGAAGGAGTGGAGAGTCTCTCGCCGTGCTTCGGGTTGTTTGGTGAGTGACTATGTAAATCACCAGTTATAGGCTCTGTTCCATGGCGTTCCTGCCGATTTGCAAGAAGTTGGGCCTCCCATTGAGACACAGGTGGGAAACGGGACTCTGTGTTCGAATACGAGGAAATACCCGAACCGCTCAATAGATCGTTATGCTGGACGCTCGTCTCGGGTAAAAGCGAGGGGAAACGTGCGCTGAATGCAGGGTCGTCGCTTGGAGAGTCAAGTAGGGCAGATGATTTCGTCTGAGTTTGACCCAGATCAACATTTTGCGTGAGGTCTACGAAACTGACAGACTTCCTGCGATTATCTGTTTTGCGAGGCTTGGATGGACTCATTTGTATCTCGGGAGCAGGCGAGGACACAGAGGGCCCTGGTGTGGTACTGTTTCGTTCAAAGGGAGCATTGTCTATAGCGCTCATCTCAGCCCGAGGTTGATCTATCTGAGTATCATGTGTGCGTGTCATGACATTGGGTGAAATCTGCGCCGGATGCACACTTTCGATGGGGGGATGATACATAGGCTCCAGGTTTATCGAGTGACCGTCAATGACAGCACCTTGCAATGCTTCCATTGCAGCGAGCGCCGGATACTCCGAGGGGAAATTAACGTAGCCAAAGCCTGCGTGTTTGCCTGACGTCGTATCTAGTGGAAGATCCACCTTGACAAGGAATCCCTTGGCAGCGAACACATCCTGTATCATCTTGTCGGTAACCTTGAAACCAACATTCCCAATGAACAAGGATCTGGTTGCCGAATTGTTTTTTGATTCTTCAGATTTCACTTGTGATGTTTGTCTAGCACCCAATGGGGCATTGAACGCAGGAGGAGGCGGAGGTGGGGCCGCAGATGGCCCTTGCGGCCAGAAGGTGAAATTCGGCAGCGATGCCGGCGGTAGGGGAGGACAGGGAGGTGGGGGAGGTGGGGGTGCGGTGTAAGTTTGGAATGGATTCCAATATGGAGCAGGCCATGAGGGAGGTGCCCAATGATTTGAGTGAGCGGGTATGGGTTGACGACTATGACAACTTTGAATGGGGGGTGCTCCTGATTGTGCAGTATACGATGGGTTCGATTGAGCTGTATCTGCTGTCGATTTTTCGTTTGTGGCTGTGCGTGAAGGATATGCGCCTGAGGCTTGAGAATACATAGTGCCCGGAGCCGCAGATGCATTATTTGTAGCAGTGTTAAAAAATGGCCCGGATGGCACAGGGTTCGGCACCTCGGAAGTCGAGGTTGATGTAGAGGCTGTCGATCCAGCACGCCCAAACTCGCTTTCAAACGCGGCAAATAATGTTTTTCCGACCTCGTTAAGTTCGGAGGCCATCGTACGAAAACCATCGGCGGCATTTTCAGCCACAGGCCTTCCTGCTTGGAAGGCATCTTCTGCCATTTGTCTTCCGCCATCTGGCAGATTGTTAAAAGCGGTTCTTAGGTGAGCCTCAACAGTGGCGAGTAGTGTCCGCAATGACGCTTCCATGTTCTCAGGTAGAGATCTCTGTGCAGCCTCAAATTGTCTCTGAGCGTTCTGTAGTTGTCGCTGTAGCTCAGGAACCTTTGATTTCCATTCAGATTGTATCATGCTAGCTCCATTGATCAACTGATCTAGAACCTGTGCCGCCAGAACCTCAACGGGATGAGGGGATCGCCCTGGGTCTGTGTTGGTTGATGGTTCAGTAGTCGGTGGCGAGTTAGATTGAGGAGTTTTGTTCTCCGAGGACTCGGCAGCATTGAGCATCTCCGCTAGCTCAGCCTCAAATGCTTCCATAAAAGGCCGAGGTTGATCTCCAGAGACCGGTGGCGAGGCCGCAATGTGAGGAACCGGGACTTCATGTTGATCTTCGAGGACAATAGCCTTAGGAGTAGCTTGCGTGTCGTCGTTCTCATCAGCCCGGCCTTGTTTTGAAACGTTGGATTCAAATCGATTCCACAACTCAGTCACAGAGTTTGATCGACGAATATCAAATATGTGCATCGGACTAATGTCATCGGGAGGAATTTCGACGGATTCAAGCTGTGTATTAATGTCTACGGGCTCCTCAAGGCGCTGAGAGAGCTCGAGAGCGGATCCAACCTAAGGGGGAAAAAAAGTGAGATTTTGATGACAGCTGATGGACTGTGATGAACTTACGGTGATTGTTTCGTCATCATCATCCTCATCCGTATAAGTCAATCTTGCGCGGGGATGGTTTGACGCTAAATCATCGTAATCTGTAGCAGAGATCTGGACCACTCCTGAAGGAGTCCGAGAATCCGCAAGCTGATCGGGCTGGTGCTGAGTGGATACCCGAAGGTTTCTGATTTGGAAAGGCTTCAACATCGTGGAGAAAATGCACAGTGAGCCCTGCAGATCAGGACCAAGAACAAGAACAAGTGGGGCGGTGTTACAAAATCGAAAAATAAAAAAAAGACAAACTAGAGTAGAGTTGAGAAAAAGGTATGAAATGGTTTGGAATTATGATGCCTCTGGGGCTAGTTAGGAGATGGGGGTATAGACGGGGGAAAGGATCACGAGATTCATATGTTGCTGCCTGTGGCAAAACACTATCAATTTTTCAGTCCAATTTTTCAAGTTTGCATCTTCCAGATGCAGGGTATGGAAATCAAGAAATTCAAGAAATCCCTCCAAAAAAAGTACACGGAGTTTCAGGCAACAGAATAAAGAGAGAACAAGATGAAGCTCTCCGGAGGAATCCCCGCTCCGATCACATGACGATGACTTTTCGCCTGGGATTTGAGGCGTCAACTCTGAATGTTAGCATTTGAATAGGTTCAATAGGCAATGGATAATACCAATTGAGAATTATGTCCACATAACATCTCCCGATGTCTGTTCGACCGTGTTCACTCTTTCATCTATCTATAACCCTCATTTCCACGATAATACCAATGGCTGGTCCATTGGAGACGGTACATCGCATGAACGCCCTCGAAACCTAGCATTCCGACAACTTCGATATTTCGTCGCGCCGCTCGAATCTCCATAGAAATCAATGGCTACCCCGAAGTCTGCGCCGTTGCAGACCCCAGCCGATCGCAACGTGAATAACGTCGTATTGGACGATCTCTTGTTCAAGCCATGGAACCAATCCATCTACCCCGAAGACCTCGTCCCCAAGGACGCCGATCGACTCTACGTTTGTCGCTGGTGCTTCCGATACTCATGCGACGGGACTATATTTGCGGAACACAAACGCGCCTGTGAGCATCGCACGACCCCGCCAGGCACTAAAGTCTACGACCATGGCGGGTATGCAGTGTGGGAGGTGGATGGGCAAAACCACAAACTTTTCGGACAGAATCTGTCCCTTTTCGCAAAACTCTTCCTCGACCACAAGACAGTCTTTTTCGATGTCGCAACTTTCCTGTATTACATCCTCACCTTCACCGACCCAGCTGACTCCGACAGCTACTACGTGCTCGGTTTCTTTTCAAAAGAGAAACTCTCATGGGACGCGAATAATCTTGCCTGTATTCTGATCTTCCCGCCCTATCAACACAAACAGCTTGGGAAGTTGTTGATGGGGGTCAGTTACAAGCTCAGCGGATGGGACTCCAATGGTGGATGCATCGGTGGACCAGAGAAGCCACTGAGTGAGCTGGGCCACAAAAGCTATGTCCGCTTTTGGGCCGAACGGATTGCCCGATACCTGCTCCGCGGAAAGCCTAGCAGTAGCTCCCTTGAAACCGAACAACAGAAGCCCAGCTCAACTCCCAAAAGCTCCCGCAAGAGACCCTTGCGCGAGACCATGACTGTTGAGGAACTCGGCCTAGGAACTGGTATGTTGACCGAGGACGTGATCACCGCACTCAAGAGCATGGGACTATTTGAACCTCGGGCCAGCCCAAAGAAACGTAAATCCATCCGTACAGCTGTGGAAGACAATACCACCCCATCAGGCCAGATGGTCACCATTTGCAAATCTGAGGTATGGGAGTGGGCCCATGCACACCATCTCTCCCTGGACGACCCAGTTAGGGAAGAAGGATTCGAGGGACTTTGGCCCTCCGAGGTTGCATCTGATGGAGATGACCAAAGCGTTACCTCAGAAGAAGATTGATTCTCCCATCGAGACAACTTCCAAGTTTATGTACGATAACGCTGATTACTGTATTTCAATTTAACGACGACAATGAGAAGCAACGTGAAGTTTGTGTGTATTTTTGAATAGATTGGCTCTTGGGCCCCAACTTTGTGAGGGAATCAAGTCTTTAACCCTTTTAAAACTTTACATGAACCGCCTGATTTCGTAAACGAGAAAGTGCATTACTCTTCCTGACCACCGGGGCCACCCGCACCGGATTTGCTCATCTGCCGAGCCTTCAGGAGCTCATCACACAGAAGGAGGTTAGATGCGATTCCTGTGCTGGAAGCGATGCAGTTGCGCAGAACACGGAAGGAATCGAAGACACCCTCTTGAACGGGATCCATGGGTTCGCCAGTGACCAGATCCAAACCGACAATGTTACCATCAGTTGCCTCATCGTGAAGAGCAGCTAGCGAATCCTGGATATCGTGGCCTGAGTTGGCAGCAAGAGTTTTGGGGATGATCAGAAGGGCATCGGCAAAGGCACCAACACCCCACTTGGCCTTACCCTTGACAGTCTTGGTGAAGGCCTGGGACTGCAGGTGTGCGGCACATGCAACTTGGAATGCACCAGCTCCGGGAATGACGCAGCCATCGACAATGGTGTTGTAGACAGAGCGCAAACCATCACGAACGGCATCCTTAACCTGGGTGATGGTGTGCCCATTAGGACCCTTGATGAGAATAGTCACAGACTTGGGATCCTTGACCTCTTCAACAAAGGTGAACTTCTCTTCACCAAGCTGATGCTCGTAAACCAGACCAGCCCACCCGAGAACCTCTGGCGACAGATCCTCAACACTGTTCTGAGCAGTTCCACCACAGACTAGCTGCAGACGCTCCATGTTTCTGCGCTTGGCTCTCCGCAGAGCGAAAATGCCATTCTTGACAAGAACATCCAAGCTGAGGGGGTCGATACCCTTCTGGTTGATGACAACGAATCCCTTGTTGGGGTCGTTTCCACAAACCTCCTTCTTGAGGTCTACAATCTTCTGCAGCTTCGCATCCACAAACTTGCGCTCACTCTCAACCAGCTTATCTCTCTGTTCGGCGTTGGAGTAGTAGAACCCGGAGTTAATTTCAGACTTCTCGTACTCCAGACTGACGTTCAATGTGAGAATGAAAGCGTTCTCCACCCGCTTGGGCATGTCGGGGTGTCTGGCACCGTGGTCCAAGGCAAGACCACGAATAAGCTGGGTATCCGATGATGACCGGTGTTGCATTGTCATAATCTCAACCATGTGCAAATCGGGCTTTTCGGGGGCTCTGTGGATGGCGAGCACGGCATCGACGATGTCGGGGGTAAGCTTCTCAGCGAGAGCACCGTTAAGCTTGGTGGAGAGGGAGGTACGGGCGACAGAAAGCAACAGCTCTCGGTCAATGGAACGCTCGAGCTTGAAGTTTTCAAGGAACTGTAGGTAATGTGTTAGATCCATCTCGAGATGATTCGACTTTCAGTCCCATTACATACTTTCAAGGCCTCGGTCTTAGCAATCTCGTAGCCGTCAGTGATGACACGGGGGTGAAGACCCTCCGAGATGTGACGCTCCGCTTGCTTCAAAAGCTCTCCCACCAGCAAAACAACGGATGTTGTTCCATCACCGGTAATATCATCTTGTGCCGTCGCAGCGCGAGCGATCATAACCTTTCCATTTCGTCAGCAATATGTGTGAGGCTCTCGAGGTAATTTCATCTTACAGCCGTGGGGTTTTGAATTTGCTGTTAAATGTTAGTTCACAAGCTTGAATGCCGGGATTCTGGGGGCAGAACGAACCATCTCTCGCAACAAAACATTTCCGTCCTTGGTCAATTTGATCTATCATAGCAACCTGTATCAGAAAAAGGATATTTTGTGCCGCTCGAGAGGAATCGGGGATTGCATACTGCGCCTGCACCATCAACCAGCCTAAGTTTTGTCAGCTCCATTGCCTTTGTACATGGGGTGTATTTGTAGAAAACTCACATCTTGAGAGTTCCCGAAGGACCTAGGTTGGACTTGAGAACATCCTGAAGACCTTCACCGGCACCAATGTTCACCTTCAAGGCCTCTCCTCTCCGCTGCGTGAAATGTTAGTGTGGGCATATCATTGAGGGGCCATCTGGAATATTTTCCATACCCTCGACTCCGCCTTGGGGTTAAGTAGTTGAGTTGCAGACATCTCCCAGGTAATGAATGACAGGGTATCACGTCCAATAACTCAAAAATATTAGATTAAAGGGATGGTAGAGCACTTGTTCCACGTTAGGTCCGCGGCCAAAAAGCCCACATTCGAGCATGCTCTATGTTCACGTGACCGTATCAGCGGAGCGGGTAAACGTACCCTCCGAGACCTACCGTCATACCTCCGGTTCGATGCCTTAGGATTCGCACTAGCGGCGAGAAAAAAAAATTGTCCATTTCCAGCCGTCGCCAACCTCACCAGCAACACATCGAATTGCACTTTGCGAGGTTTTCTGGTCGGTGTCGCAAGTTTTTATTATTATCTTGTGATTGACCTTATATTGGTCCTAACACGATGGCCGATTTCCTACTTTTCGAGGGCCCTATGGGTTACTCGCTTTTCAAGGTCGCCCATCAGGGTGACTCTGTCGGCAATGCCTTGAAGGAAGTTCAGGAAGGTGTCAATGATCTTGCTAAGTTCGGCAAGATGGTCGAGCTTTCGAGCTTCCTGCCCTTCGAGTACGCTTTATCTGTCTATTTGAAAAGGTTTTTCATCACCGACTAATAATTTGTAGGAACAACAAGCAGGCTCTTGGAGAAATCAATGACATCTCCGAAGGTGTCGCATCCGAGACTCTCGTTTCTTTCCTCGAATTGAACCTCCCTAAGCCGAACAAGAAGAAGAAGGTCATCCTGGGTCTTGCCGACAAGGCTCTGGCAGGAAGCATCAAGTCCGCTTTCTCATTCGTGGACTGTGAGACTGGTGATACCAGCGAGGTCGTTCAGGATCTTCTCCGTGGTATCCGTCTCCACGCTGGCAAGCTTCTCAAGCAGCTGCGCGATGGTGACATGGACACTGCCCAGCTCGGTCTTGGTCACGCCTACTCCCGCGCTAAGGTAAAGTTCTCCGTCCAGCGTGACGACAACCACATTATCCAGGCCATCGCCATTCTGGATCAGCTCGACAAGGCCATCAACACCTTCTCCATGAGAGTTCGCGAATGGTACTCCTGGCACTTCCCCGAGCTCGTCAAGATTGTCTCCGACAACCAGCGCTACGCCGAGCTCGCC